GTACGTGCATTGTTCTCTTTGGTTATCGTCCCAGCCCGGCACAGATGGCCAGTCCATCCCGTGCTTCGACGCTCCAAGAGCCTTGAAATGTTACAACTTGCAACTCCCTCCGTGAGAGAAGGGCCAGTTCCCACCATGCAGAAAGCAGCTTTCGTATTTCTTTTTGTGCTGGTGGCTGTAGGTCAGTGGAGCGGCCAAACATGGCTGTACTCATGTCAAGACACTGATGCACATCCTTTTGCATGTGTCTTGATGATGTCCTAGGAAGGAACTACTGACTCAAAGGACTTGAATTTCTCATTGTAAATTTGTTTATTCAAATACAAATACCTACAGAAGTGGGACAAACCCTACAGCTCAGTGAACTTTTACAAAAATCCATCCTCCAGATCGAAATACAGAATGTTTCTATTTCCTCGGGTTCCCACTGGGCCTCCTCTGTCATTTCCCACTGCTCCCCACAGGGCCCTTCTCTCTGCTCCTGGAGGCTGCTCTGCCCCTTGGCTTTGTCTGTCTGGACACGTGCGGGCATCTGAACATTGCGAGGGTCGCCATGTTGCATGGAGTTTGTTTTGTTTCATTGCCATACAGTGTTCTGTTGTGTGAACATACCACAGGTTATTTTCCATTCTACTTGTGGAGGACACTTGGTGCTTGTGCGTGTGTCTCTTTTGGCTCACAGAGAATGCATTTCTGGTGGGTGTGTTCCTGCAAGTGGAGTCGGTTTGTGAGTGTCTAGTCAAAGAAGGAAGGAATGGAGGCTTGAGGGCACCAGGAAGCATTCTGTATGGCATCTTGAGTTTAAGATACTGGTGACTCACCGGGTGACCCTTCAGGCCCCTGGGAAGAGCCCTGGGAATGGGGGTGGCCTACTAGGAAGAGCTGAGGGACCCCAGCCTCCGTTGCTCTGCCCTTGTCCTTCACAGTTGGCATGAGCTTGGCCCTCTGCCCTCCTGGGGAGGTGGCTGGTTTTCCTACCATGGATTAGCTGTTGTTAGTCAGCCTTACACTCGCTTGGCCTTAATTTCTTTGTTGGATGTCCTCCATGACTTTCCGGGCCCCTCCTTGCTATGAAGCCTCCATCTTCTGTCCCTTTGTAATGAGGACAGGCATCCTACAGCCCCATTCATGCAGGTTTTGTGGGCAGAAGGCAGGCAGGAAGGGTGTGGATGTTAGAGTTGGTCAGACCTGGGTTTAAATGCTTGCACTGCCACATGACTGGGCTTGGATGAGGTCTTTAAGCTTCTGGGCTCCAGGCTCTCGTCTCTGCAAGGCGTTGTGACTTTGGAGATGGTGGAATTGGTAATCCACAGGTGATCAGCTGCATCTTCATACCTTTCTTCCAGAGTCAGAACAGGTGACCCTGACATGTTCTGTTTGCTGTTTCAGCTTATGAGACCAGGACAGAGTTGACTTCAGAGAAGATGCTTGGTGGGGAAGAACTGGGCCGACTCAGGGGGACTATTCCGCAGGGGCCTGAGCCAAGAGAAGAATGTGAGCATGTCGGGGAGCTAGAGGAGAGCCTGGACAAGCCCGTGGTTCAGAGAGGCCCCAGGCCAGTCACACTGACGAATGAGGAGAGTGGCCAGGAGTCTGGGGGAAGCCTCACATTGGGGTCGAGCCCTGTGTCTGATCAGAGACCTCACAGATGTGATATATGTGAACAGAGTTTTGAACAGAGATCATACCTCAATAACCATAAGCGTGTACACAGGTCAAAAAAGCCAAATGCAGTTCATGATTCTGGGGAAATCTTGAGTGTGAATTTAGTTGTTAAAGAAGATCAGAAAATTGTTATTGGGAAAAAACTGCATTACTGTGGTTACTGTGGGAAAGCCTTCAGGTACAGTGCTAACCTTGTCAAGCACCAGCGGCTTCACAGCGAAGAGAAGCCCTACAAGTGTGATGAGTGTGGTAAAGCCTTCAGCCAGAGCTGCGAGTTCATCAATCACCGAAGGATGCACTCCGGGGAGATCCCCTACCGGTGTGACGAGTGTGGGAAGACGTTCAATCGGAGGCCCAACCTCATGAAGCACCAGAGGATCCACACCGGGGAGAAGCCCTACAAGTGTGGCGAGTGTGGGAAACACTTCAGCGCCTACTCGTCCCTCATTTATCACCAGAGAATCCACACTGGAGAGAAACCCTATAAGTGCAACGACTGTGGGAAAGCCTTCAGTGACAGCTCAATCCTTATCCGACATCGTCGGACTCACACCGGAGAGAAGCCATTTGAGTGTAAAGAATGTGGCAAAGGCTTTACCCAAAGTTCTAACCTTATCCAGCATCAAAGAATTCACACTGGAGAGAAACCCTATAAGTGTAATGAATGTGAGAAAGCCTTCATCCAAAAAACCAAACTTGTTGAACATCAGAGGAGCCACACGGGGGAGAAGCCCTACGAATGTAATGACTGTGGCAAAGTCTTCAGCCAGAGCACGCACCTCATCCAGCATCAGAGGATCCACACGGGAGAGAAGCCCTACAAGTGTGGTGAGTGTGGGAAGGCCTTCCACAACAGTTCCAGACTCATCCACCACCAAAGGTCACACCATGGAGAGAAGCCGTACAAATGCATTGATTGCAAGAAAGCCTTCAGCCAGGGCGCTTACCTCATCCAGCACCGGAGGATCCACACCGGGGAGAAGCCCTACAAGTGTGGTGAGTGTGGGAAGGCCTTCCGGCACAGTTCCAACATGTTCCAGCACCAGAGGATCCACACCGGGGAGAAGCCCTACAAGTGTGGCGAGTGTGGGAAACACTTCAGTGCCTACCCCTCCCTCATTTATCACCAGAGAATCCACACTGGAGAGAAACCCTATAAGTGCAACGACTGTGGGAAGGCCTTCAGTGACAGCTCAATCCTTATCCGACATCGTCGGACTCACACTGGAGAGAAGCCATTTGAGTGTAAAAAATGTGGCAAAGGCTTTACCCAAAGTTTTAACCTTATCCAGCATCAGCGAATTCACACTGGAGAGACCCTATAAATGTAACAAATGTGAGAAAGCCTCCATCCAGAAAACCAAACTCATGGAGCATCAGAGGAAGCCACACGGGGGAGAAGCCCTGTGAGCGTGGTGAGTGTGGGAAGGCGTCCCAGCAACAGAGGGTCCACGCAGGAAGGCCCCCCTGTGGTGGTGGAGGCGGGCCTGTGGGTTCTGTGCACTTGCTCCATGTGACCCACCCCACCCCTTTATTTATTGTCCACAGTGTTGTCACAAGTGAAAGGGCATTCTTGTCTAATTAAAAACACCTCTTCTTAAACCAAAAGCAGTGCGTGTTCATTTCAGACAAATTGAGAGAGAGAAAGATAAGCAAAAAGCAGAAGCTCCTGTAATCTCCCTGACTGAGAAAAAGAGAATTTGTCACTGCTGACTTAGTGTAGGTTTCCATTCAGACTTGTCATCACAGCACCCAGGATCTTCACCTCTGCTGTTGCCTCAATACCAGAAAAGTCATACTGGAGAGGATGCCACATATTTACGTGTTTTTACATATTTTAAATTAAAAATAACATTCATACTTTTTTATGTCACTGAATAGAAGTGGTAATTGCCTTTTTTTATTGTAAAATATATGTAAAATTTACCATTTTAATCCTTTTTAAGTGTACAATTCAGTGGCATTAAATGCATTCACAGTGTTTTGTAACTGTCACCACTATGTATTTCCAAAACTGTTTTGTTATCTCAAGCAGAAATTCTGTGCCCATTAAACAATAACTCGCCATACTCCCTTTCTTTTAGCTACCCCTATTCTACTTGTATTCTATTTTCAGTCTCTGAATTTGCGTATTCTAGGTACCTCATATAAGTGGAGTCATTTGCCCTTTATGTCTGGCTTATTTCACTTGGCATAATGTCCTCAAACTTCATCCATGTTATAACCAGTATCAGAACATTCTATTTTATGGCTGAATAATGTTCCATTGTTTGTAGATACCACATTTTGTTCATCCATTCATCTGCTGATGGACACGTGGGTATTTCTACCTCTTGACTGTTGTGCATGATGCTGCTATGAACATGGATCTACAAGTATCTGAATCCCTACTTTCAATACTTTTGAGTATAATCCTAGGAGTGAAATTGCTGGATCATGTGGTAATTCTATGTTTAACTTTTTGAGGAAGGGCCAAACTCTTTTTTCCACAGCAGCTGTACCATTTTACATCCCCACTAACAATGCAGGAAGGTTCCAATTTTTCGACATCCTTGCCAACACTTATTTTCCATTTTGTTGATAATAGCCGTCCTGATGGGTGTCTCGTTGTGGTTTTGGTTTGCATTTTCCTAATGACTAATGATGTTGAGCATCTTTTCAGGTGCTTATTGACCATTTGTACATCTAGGGAGAAATTCAAGTCCTTTGCCCAGTTTTGAATTGGGTTGTTTTTTGTTGTTGAGGTGTAGGAGTTCTTTATATATTTTGTATAGTAATCCCTTATCAGATATATAATTTGCAAATATTTTATTCCATTCTGTGAGTTGTCTGTCTACTCTCTTGATAGTGTCCTTTGATGCATAAGTTTGTAATTTCTGTGAAGTTCAATTTATCTATTTTTTTCTTTGTTGCCTGTGTTTTGGGTGTCAGATCCAAGAAATCATTGCTAACTCTAAGGTTATAGAGATTTGCCCCTCTGTTTTCTTCTAAGAGTCTGATACTTTTAAGTCTTATGTTTTGGTTTTTGATCCATTTTGGGCTAATTTTTATATAAAGTAAGGGTCCAACTTCATTCTTTTGCATGTGGATATCCAGTTTTCCCTACAGCATTTTTGGAAAAGACTTTATTTTTCCCATTGAATGGTGTATTTGCTCATGCTGCCATAACAAAATACCACAGAGTGGATGGCTTAAAAAACAAATTTATTTTGCATAGTTCTGGAGGCTGAGTCCAAGATCAAGGTGCCAGCTGATTCAGCTCGTGGTGAGGGTTCTCTTTCTGGCTAGCATACAGCTGCCTTCTCATTGTGTCCTCATATGAGGGAGAGAGAGATCTCAGGTGTCTCTTCCTCTTCTTATAAGGGCACCAGCCCCACGCTTATGACCTCATTTCATCTTTATCACCACAGGGTCTATCTCCAAATACAGTCACGTTGGGGGTTAGAGCTTCAACATATGAATTTAGAGGAGGGGACACAAACATTCGGTCCATAACAAATGGTCTTGGTGTGCTTGTCCAAAGTCCATTGGCCATATGTGCAAGGGTTTATTTCTGGGCTCTCTGCTCTATTCCTTTAGTCTATATGCCTGTCCTTATGCCAGCAGTGTACTGTTTGATTACTGTAGCTTTGTAGTAAGTTTTGAAATCAGGAAGTGTGAGTCCTCCAACTTTGTTATTCTTTTTCAAGATTGTTGTGGCTAACTGGGGTCCCTTGAGATTCCATATGAATTTTAGGATGGGTTTTGTTATTTCTGCAAAGAGCATCATTGGGATTTTGATAAGGATTGTATTGGATCTGTAGATCACTTTGGGTAGTATTGACATCTTCACAATATTAAGTCTTCCAGTCCATGAACATGGATGCGTTTCTATTTGTTTATGTATTCTTTAACTTCTTTCAGGGATGTTTTGTAGTTTTCAGTGTAGAAGTTTTTTGCCTCTTTGGTTAAATTTATTCCTAATTATTTTATTTCATTTAATGCTATTTTAGTTTTTTGCTTTTTTTTTTTTTTGGTGAGGAACATTAGCCCTGAGCTAACATCTGCTGCCAATTTTCCTCTTTTTTGCTGAGGAAGATTGGCCCTGAGCTAACATCTATGCCCTTCTTCCTCTACTTTATCTTTTTTTTTGGTGAGGAAGATCAGTCCTGAGCTAACATCCGATGCCAATCCTCCTCTTTTTGCTGAGGAAGGTTGGCCCCGGGCTAACATCTGTGCCCATCTTCCTCTACTTTTTATATGAGACGCCACCACAACATGGCCTGACAAGCGGTGCATCGGTGCATGCCCAGGATCCAAACCTGCGAACCCTGGGCTGCTGAAGCAGAGTGTGCAAACTTAACCACTATGCCACCAGGCTGGCCCCAATGCTATTGTTAATGGAATTGTTTTCTTTTTTTTTTTTTCCGATTATTTATTGTTAGTGTATAGAAATGCAACTAGTTTTTGTGTCTTGATTTTGTATCCTGCAACTTTGCTGAATTAGTTCGTTAGCTCTTTGTTTGTGTGTGTGCACAGTCTTCAGAGTTTTCTACTTGTAAGATCATGTCATATGTGAACAGAGATAATTTTACTTCTTGTCCAATTTGGATGCCTTGTGTTTTCCTTCCCTAATTGCTTTGGCTAGAACTGCCAGTACTATGTTGAATAGAAGTAGCAAAAGTAAGCATCCTTTACTTGTTCCTGATCTTAAAGCCTTCAGACTTTCCCCACTGTGTATGATATTAGGTTTTTCCTATATGGCTGTTATCATGCTGAGGAAGTTTCCTGCTATTCCTAGTTTATTGAATGTTTTATCATGAAGCTGTTAAATTTTGTCAAAACGTTTTTTTTTTTGGGTCAATTGAAATGATCAAGTGGGTTTTCCTTCATTGTATTAAAGATTTTATTTATTCAGTTTTTTCCCCCCAAAGCCCCAGTAGATAGTTGTATGTCATAGGTTCACATCCTTCTAGTTGCTGTATGTGGGACTCGGCCTCGCGTTGGACGGAGAAGTGGTGCCTCGGGGCGCTCCCGGGATCCGAACCCGGGCCGCCAGCATCAGAGCGCACGCACTTAACCGCTAAGCCACGGAGCCGGCCCTGCTTCATTGTATTAATGTGATGTATTACAATGATTGATTTTCATATATTGACCATCCTTGCATTCTAGGAATAAATCCTATTTGGTCCTGGTTTATAATCCTTTTAATATGCTGTTGAATTCAGTTTGCTAGTATTTTATCGAGGATTTTTGCATCAATATTCATAAGGGATAGTGGCCCATAGTTTTTGCTTCATTTCTCTTTGATATCGGGGTAATGCTAGCCTCACAGAATGAGTTAGGAAGTGTTACTTCCTCTTCAGTTTTGGGGAGGATTTTGCGAAGAATTGGTGTTTATTCTTTTTTAAATTTTTGGTGGAATTGACCAGTGAAGCTGTCTGTGTTGGGCTTTTCTTTGTTAGGAGGTTTTTGATTACTAAATCAATCTTTTTACTAGTTGTAATTCTATTCTGATTTTCTGTTTCTTCATGAGTCAGTATTGGTAGATTATGTGTTTCTAGGAATTTGTCCATTTCATCTAGGTTACTTAAATTTGTTGGTTTATAGTTATATAATCCTTTTTATTTCTGTTAGGTCAGTTGTAACATCCCCATGTCCATTTCTGATTTTACTAATTTGCATCTTCTCTATTTACTTAGTCTAGCTAAAAGTTTCTCAATTTTGTCAGTCTTTTCAATGAACCAACTTTTGGTTTTGTTGATTTTCTCTATTTCTATATTTTTAAATTCATTATCTCCACTGTGATCTTTATTATTTCCTTCGTTCTTTTATCTTGGGTTTATTTTGTTTTCCTTTTCTAGTTCCTTAAAGTGCACAGTTATTGATTTCAGAACTTCCTTTTTTTTTTTTTTTTTTAATGTGTGCATTTACAGCTGTAAGTTTCACTTTAAGCGCTGCTTTCACCACATCCTATAAATTTTGGTATGTTGTGTTTTCATTTTCATTTGTCACTCAGTATTTTCTTCATTCTCTTGTAGTTTTCCTCTTTGGTTGTTTAAGAGTTTGTTGTTTTAATTTTCTAGTTTTTCTTCTGCTATTGATTTCTAGTTTTATTTCATTGTGATTGGAAAAGACACTTTGTATGATTTTAATCTTTAAAAATTTATTATGACTTGTTATGTAAACCATCATATGATCTAATCTGGAGAATGTTCCACATGCACTTGAGAAGAACATGTATTCTGCTTTTGTGGGGTGGAGTGGTCTATATATGTCTTTTAAATCTAATTGGTTTATTGTGTTGTTAAGTCCTCTGTTTCCTTATTGATTTTCTGTCTGGTTCTATCTATTGAAAGTGGAGTACTGAACTCTC